AAATGATAATAGCAGTGCTCAAATACAAAAAGATATTATGATCTTATCGATCATATTCTTCAAAGAACATGCTTCAGGTAGAATTGAACCTGTGACCTCTCACTGTCAATGTGAGTGTCATACTGTTAGACCACGAAGGCCTGTTGCAAATCATGACTTGTTCAATTCATGTAACTCTCCTTATATAATTGGTATTCACACTCTAAAACGATTTTGGAGTATTCGTTTTCGTTCCGGTCGGAAAAGCCGACCTCCTAAGGACTCCAAAAGTGTAGGGGTATAACAGGAGGTGTAGAAATAGGGCCCAGAGACAGAAAAGGTCCACCACCGCATGCGTAGCTAGCGTCATTAGATTAGGCGTAAGATAATTTAATTTAGTATAATGTACAAAGTAATCTTACCTGAATTTTTAATGGACTTCAGCTCCCCATTGGCCATACGTTTCGCTCCCATCATGTGGTGCTGCAGTTGGCTTATTTGTGCTGGATTTACCGTCGTCATAGTGGTCATCGTGAGTGGAGCCGAGACCATTGTGTTGTTCTGTAGTGACGTCACCTGCTGGGGGATATGCTGCTGATGCTGCTGTGTAGGCAGTTGAATCTGGAAATGACTGACGGGTTGTAGTGGCTTCGTTTGGTTGTTATTTAGTGCTGGAAAGACAAGAAATATAATGTGATTTGTCAATTAATGCACAGTATAAATGCTTTTGTAATTATACAATATGGGCAATTGAAATAATAGCAATAAAAATAATGGTGATGATGACATGATGTTGGTGGTGGTGGTGAAGATGATGTGAAGATGATGTGATGATGATGATGATGATGATGATGATGGTGGTGATGATGATGATTGTGATAATGATGATGATGATAACGCCGTTGACGATAAGGACGACGGCGGCAAGGGGTTGACGTCGGAAACGACGAAGACGACATTAATAGTGAAAATAATAATAATGATGATATAATGAGGCTGATTGTGATGATTATGATTGAGAATTCCTTCCAATTACTATAAGCACAGGTCAAAACGAATATATTATAGACCTATATTTACGTTGAATTTTTGTTGCACAATTTTTTCGTTTGAATTTTTAACTTAAGCTACAAAATTAATTATATAAAGTAATCAATTCAGATACATTTAATTTTATCTTCCAAATGATTTAGGTCATCACAGGCAATTGTTTAAGTATTCCATACCATTATGAAGTTGTTGGAGGAAGTTTTGTTGCATGCATAGGCTGTGTTGCTGTGGTTGGTGCTGGGGGTGTTGTTGTTGAGGTGGCTGTGTCATCCTGATTTGCTGACTCTGGTCGTTAATCTGTTGTAACTGCTGTACCATCAGCATACTGTTGCCACTCATATTGGTTCCAGTGATTCGCTGGATCTGGTGAGCCTGGCTCTGTAGAGAGCTTAAAGCTGGAAAAATAGAAATGTGTTGTGAAACAGTAGGCCTACTTGTGTGTAGAATTTTTTTGAAGGGGGAATTTTTCATCGACGAAGGTTTGTGCATGTACATTTAAAGGGGCTGTTGTTAATTATTTTAGGTTTTTACTTTAGGTATGACTAAAGTTTTAGTGTTCTTAGTAATGTGTTCGTGTAGAAATGATTAAAAGTGCAGTTTAATACTTAAGGTGTGTTAATGTTGAAAAATTGTTAAAGGGGCAGCTGTTTTTTTTTTTTTTTTTTTTTTTTTTTTGTGCGTTTTTTTTTTTTG